CCTCGGGGGGCCACATCCGGCCCCCGGCCCTTAGGTTGCCTACCCCTGCTTTAAGGTTTGGATTAAACCTGGAGCAGGTTTATATGGGAGCCATGAGCCTCCCAGATGGCAGAGGGGCTTATTTGACAGTGGTCCAAAACACACTGGAGAAATAATCCAGTTTGAGACCGCTTTAACTGCCCTGGCTCAATGCTAGGAAATTCTGGGCACTGTAGTTTGGGGAGCCTTCTCTGTCAGAGAGCTCTGGGGCCACAATAAACTCCAGTTCCCAGGATCCCCTAACCTTGAGCCAGGGCAGTTAGAGCAGTCTCAAACTGGATTATTTCTCCAGTGTGTTTTGGACCAGCGACATCGGCAGCACTGAAATCACCCCGGGGAAGTTTGGAGCTAACATTTTCATTTCTCACAGTGTCTCCAACATGACATCACTGCAAAGAATAGGGTTTAATTTAAATTCAAGCCCCTGCTGCAGGTTCCTACGGGGCATGATCTAGTTGAGAACTTGGAGAATTGCTGCTTTCAAATAATGCATTCCTATCACTTGTTACGGTGCTTTAGAAAGCTATTCATTGTTGATACTTATAAACTGTGTTGTTTTTTTAAAAGTGCATTTTTGTTGTTATTATTTTTGTTGATGTTGTTCCTTTTTGTAACTGCTTTTTCCCCCCTTTTGGTAAGAGAGTGTCACAGATCCGGGGAAATGTCCATCAAAAATGACTCTGGAAATGCTGTTTTAAAATAGCATTGAAATGTAACTACAAAAGGTTGCATCAGTAGACTTGACACTGAATTTTATTTTATTTTTTACACCAGGAGTAAACTTCTGTGGAAAGTCCACAACCTGAATGCATCTCACACACAGACTCTCAGAAATCTACAGCTCTTATCTACCCATTTTTCAGAAACAAGGTGGGACAAAGGAGAGAAGAGCATTTGAATGGAGATTCACACCTTCAGGAAGGCTCTGAAGGTAAGAATCACTCTTTTTGGCATGTTATGCTCTCCTTTAACTATTAATACATTTTATGCAAAGGGAATTTTTAGCACCTTTGAGACTAACCGAAAGGGAAAAGTTGGTAGCATGAACTTTCATCCCCATGCATCTGAGGAAGTAGGTCAAGTCTGCAAAAGCTCATGCTTCCAACTTCTCTCTTTCCATCAGTCTCCAAGGTGCTTCAAGATCCCTTTGCAGACTGATTTTTCACAGATATGTCTTTAAATAAAATTACATTACTTTACATTTTTGGAATTTTTCTACCCAGAACAAAGGGGTCAGAAGGCAGACAAAAGGCTGTATTTCACCTGTGGACCTACATAGTTCCTACCAAAGTTATACTGAATATTGTCCCGATTCCTGACATTATCCCTCAAAAGTGACTTGTTACCATCCTTGTTGTCAGAAAGGAGAGTAAGACAATACATGTTACTCAAGACCAGTTGCACATTACTTATAATTAGTTACTAGTTACTAGTAACTAATTTTGAGTAACTAGTTTCAAGTAACCAGTTTCTGACCTAGTGGAGTGATGCTATATTCGGAGCACTGTGGGAAGTTAAAATGGCAGAACAGGACCATTCAATGTCCCTAGCCTACTTTCAGCGGCTGCTTCCCTACCAACGGATAGCGAGTCCGTTCCAGTTTTTGGTCCAAACGTTCAAGTTCAGAATAAAATCCAAGATGGACTCACTGCCCCACTGACATGGGAGCCACCACTGCTTACCTCTCAGGGTTGTTGTGAGGATAAAATAGGGGCAGAGGTCTC